TTCCATAATTATCGATTTTAATAAGAAAACTCCTGTGTTTGGCGCACAGTACTGCGATGGTGACTTATAAATATTTGACAATGTTACAGTATTTATTAAAATCAATTTGAAAACAATTAATATTTCGTTACGGTACGAGAAGTTCCGGCAATTTTCCTTAAGGCACGATGCCATACACCACTAGTTAAAGTATTTAATTATCAAAAGAACAATTAAAATGGTGTTTTAAAACATTAAAATAAACATTATGCAAATATAATATACCTATTAATTTTTTTAATAAAACTTGTTGACACTTTATCGCGACTTCAGTCAGTTCTTGAGCTGTTTAAAAACTCGAATTACCAACATAATAGTATATGACAAAAAACGCAAGTCTTTAGTATTTAATATTTCAAATAATAATATGTTGATTTAATAATTATGAATTACATTCATTCTTTAATAATTATGTAAATATTAATTTTTTTTTCTTTTCACAAAATCTGATGACAGTTCATGAACCAAAAGTTTAATTATTTATTTAAATTATTGAAATTTCTAGCATGAAAAATATTGACTGGAAGATATAATATTTGCAAGATGTAAAAAATGTTTAATTCATACTGATATACATACTATATAATTTTACATTCAAATTACCATATTGATATATTAATTTGTATGTATTGTTGATATGTATTTGAGTGTCTGTTGTTTTTCCAATTAGAAATATTTGTCAACAACAAAGACAATACTATTACATTTTACGCATTACATGATGTGTTGCCTGTTGAATAATAAAAAGTAGTTAAATGTATTTTATAGCATGAGTAAATAGTAATTAATTACCCTCCAAATTTTTCTTAATATTTGCAATTGCAAATTCAAATTGTTAATATCGGTTTTAAATATCGTGGAGTGACTACAAGATCGATTTTATTCAGATTCACTTTTTATTTTTATAATATCCATGCTGCATCTCATGTCTCCATTTCCATCATATGACTTCACAAATTTAGCAATATATGTTAAACCAATAAATAATTTGTGGAAGATTGGAAATAACTTGTCCCAGAGTTCAGGTGTTCTTGTATTCAAGAAATAATTATCAATGGACATGTTTGAAGGTTTTGATGAATTTGAAATTGAGGAAGTGCGCCTTCATTCAGCATTCAGGCATGGTGATAGCATTTTATGTGTGGGTTTAAATATTTAATAAAGTAGACAAAATATATATATATATATATATATATATATATATAATATATATATTATATATATATATGTATATATATATCATAGTGTCAATTTCTGCTATAGCAGTAATGCGAGAACTTTCTTTTAAATTATAATTTAAAAAAAAACACTGGTCTGGTATAGATAAACTCATTTTCTTTGCTATAGAAAAAAGCAGATCCTCCATCCATACTGTTTCTCCTTGGGCCAGTTAAGAATTCAATAAAACTAATCAATCCTGGTCGTGCTAATTCAAAAAGCTTTTATATTTTTGAAATCGGTTCAGCATTTATTGACAAAACATCGACAAAAGCTCAAAAAATGGCTCACAAACATACTTATTCCAAAACTTGTTCTCAAACGATTCAGATTGACTTGTCAGGTATAATAGATAATGCAATATATCAGAATGTACTATCGAGTGAAACTTCTTATGCGACTTTAAACAAGGTTGCTTTAAATGTTCAATGCAAAGTGAGCTAATGTTTGAATAACGATTGTTTTAGAATGCCATAGATTAGGAATGTTGAATTTTGTTTTAGATTTTTTTTAGAATGTAAAATGTTTTTCAAATGTTATGGATTATTCCATAATTTGTAGAATATTTATTAGAACATTGTAGACTGTTTGAAAGTGTTGCATAGTCTTTGAAGGTCTTGCAGACTGCACATAAGCATTGCAATCTCATTTTCACATTACGAAGTTTCTCTTCTTTTGCAGAGTATCACTTCTATTATTTTCATTGTTTTTTTTGTGGGAAGATGAAGGATTTCCTTCGCTCCTCTCAAAAAATAAAAACATAAAAGCTTTAAAATTGAGTTTTGTCAGTTCTTCAAAATGTCATAAATAGGGGTGGAAAAGAAATAATTTATGATGATTTTTTATACAAAATCTGACCTCAATCTTGAAACATTTGTCAAGATTGGGTCAGAAAAATATACGATACACGACAACATTGGCAGGTAAATTGTATTCGTGAGAATGATTTTTATACGTAGACTCTTCTATGGATTTTTAGATATTTTTAGATATCTATATATTTTACACATTTCTAGACAATTTCAAAAATATGTAGCCATTTGTAGATATTTTTTTTAAATTTTTGTACATTTTTAACCCTTGCCAGTAGGCGACATATACATTTTTTTATGTATATCTAGACATTTTTGTACATATTAAAATTTTTTAAGTTACATTTAAACATCACTAGACATTAAAAATTAATACATTGGCAAAAGAGTTGAAAAAATATTTTAAAATTACCATTTGATTTACTGATTTTTTATATATATATATATTCAGGCTTGTCCATAACTACAGACTTGGCAGGGTACTTCACTTCAACAATCTTCAGAAATGAATCAGTACTAGAAGCTAATTCAGGCCGAAGAAGCGAAGGAGACAAGGCGTGATCTGAGTCGCTTAAAATCCCTTCACTCAGAAAGGAATAAATTAAATGAAAAGTATAGGGAACTAGAATTGTGTATCAAGTTCCTATACAGGAATAAATTTATAAACGCATGAATTAAGATATTTTGACATTTATGGGCCAATTCTCGGATAACACATCTAAGTTTTGTTTGTAGAGACTCCTGCTTTAACATATCATGTCTTAAATAAGCATATGTTCAGGATTATGTATTCTTGGACCACGTCGTGTAGGAGGCACTCTTTTTTCGATTGAATTGAATGGGTCCTATTCAGTTTCCTTTTCTTTTCATGATCGTTCTCAGTGAAGTCTTTTATGGACTTATTCTTTTGTTATCTTGTCAGTCCACTTTATTTTCTCCATTCACCTGTCTCCTGCGCACCACATTTTAAAACTCTCCAATAGTTCTTGTCGGCTTTTCTTAGAGTTCATGTCCCTGATCCGTAAAGAGCTATGCTCTAGACATAACATTTTATTTATCAATATCATCCACAAGTCGAGACTTGGTTGGTTCTCAGTAGTGTTCTCAACTTCGCAAACTCCACCTTGGCGCTTGCGATCTTTGTCCTGATTTTTCTCGTGCTGTATTCGTTTCTGGTCAGAATGCTTCCTAAATATTTGAAATGATCAACGTCTTCCAATTTTTGATTTTCTACTGTTATCTTTAGAGTATCATCTCGTTTTGATACTCTTATCACTTCCAATTTGTTGATGCTGATTTCCGTTCCGTATCTTCTACCCATTTCGACGATTCTGTCCATCATGTTCTGCAGCTCGGTTTGGTTTTTTGATATTACCACTAGATCAATCATTTTGCCATATAAAATAAAATATGTCACCAGGAATAGCTGTTATACCTACCATAATTCCATGAACCGCATAAGTTAAAAAATATTTTTTAAACATCAGTTTATTTACATAGATACCACACCTGTCACAAGAAGTGTGAGCATACGTGAATTGGGCCGCTTGTTGAGAAAATACCCGGGACTATTCCTAAATGAGTGGACTTTGCGACTTTTTGCATTTTTCGTCTATGACAAGGTATATATATATATATATATATATATATATATATATATATATATAATAAATAAATGGTAGTCTTTCATCCATGCTTTCTGATCCTGCACTTCGGTTTTCAGTACCCTGTATTTTCTCTTTACCAATCCCTTCAGCCTTCTATTTTACCATCCACGACGTCGTGCAGGAGGCACTCTTTAGAACAGAACGGGT